CTGAGGAAGTACAGAATGTGTTTTGCACGTCCAGCGTGTCGTTCATTTCATGAAAGTCGGCCGATAAAACGAATTTTGTGTTTTGTAAAGACCCGATTGGGCAGCGTAGGTCCAACGAAAACAGTAAAATAGCACCTTACCCTGTGGGGAATCAGCCAGTACTCTGTCGATCTACTTTGGGCTATACCTGCTACAAAAAGGGTCCGCCAGTTTGTCCGTAAAAGGGGCAAAGACCACAACCCATTTTCTACAAAAAAAATTGACTGATTATCAGGCAACAGGTCCGGGGTGGAAATGAACTCGAGAGATGACATGATGCAGGGGTGATTCAGAAATCAATTTTTTATTGCTGGCTTTAAATGTTGAAAGATAACAACTAACAAAAGACAAAAAAGATGCAATTACAAACAAAAAAAAATCAAGTACAGGCTCACCTTTTTGGCAGACATCAAATATGAATAAAGAGGAACATAACACGTTGCTGGAGTCATGGGGTGCACCGGCGCCAAAAGGCAAATATTTGCATTGTGCGCCGGTGTTGCAAGGCCGCCCACTCATCTACGCACGCCACCGACGATCCGAGTACCCCTTGTCAATGGCCAGACGAAATCGACCCCTACGTGACCTGGAAGCTACAACGCAAGGCACGACGAGAAGGAAACTCGCCGTGCCTTCTGTTATAGTTTCGTTGTAACCACATAACCCCCTACAGCCCACCCCACACTACAGAGAGGGCAGATGCTACGCTTCTTCGGCGTGTACAAACACACTCCCTCTCAACACTACACTACCTCCAGCACGTTGCAGATTTACCTGAACCACCTAAATGCACATACTTCCGGAGACTACTCAAATAACTCTCACACACCAAGTTAAAAGGAAGCTGAAGCGGTTTTGTATTTGAGGAAACACACTTAAGTCGTCTTCATTTCACCTCCAGGATCTCGAATATCGAAATTATTTCTTTTATAATTTGGGGCATGGAGGTTGCAGAAAATCATTTTCAGAGTACCACCGAAGGCCCTCCTTCCAGGAGCGTGTCGCCATAAAAGGAGTTCTCGGAATCTTCCTTCCAGCAGCGTCCACCACAGCTATGCACGCGTACTCTTGCTATTTTTTTTTAAGAAGGGCAGAAAAAGATGTTAACACTTGTGCCAGTACGGGGGAATACACCTGGCAAGCTAGGGATTGCATGCGCGGCCCTCGAGTGTCACGAGCTTTGCGGCCGAAAGGCCCTCTTATGACGCCACGACGGGTTGGGTGTTTTTCGTGTTTTCTCACGTTAAGTTACATCTTCGGGGAAAACGAACGCGATATTCATATCCACGGGATAAAACGCTAGAATCAAGCTCTATTTCATTTTTTTTAAAGAAGTGTTCCGGCTTCCCTTTAAGGACTGCGCCTCAGCTCAGGATCTTGCAGAACGTGCACTGAAAACACTCGTCCCACTTATCCAACCAAGGATCTCAGAGGACTGTGTCACTCCTCCACGGGCGGCAGAGTACAAATTACGTCCACCCCTAGTTAAGCACATTAA